CCTTCCTTCCTTCCTTCCTTCCTTCCTTCCTTCCTTCCTTCCTTCCTTCCTTCCTTCGTTCTATGGGTCTATGATATATTAGTGTGGGGAACAAATATTAAGGGAATTCTACAAATGGATTTAGATTGGCAACCTGTCTTCAGTTTATAATCTTAGAAAACTGGATGCAGCACTGAGTTGTGACTTATCCATGTTCACAGAATAGTATGTGTCCCAATTCCAAAGCTGGCCCTCTGTCCAGCACACCTCCCTACCTCTTAGTATTCAAATATAGGAAAAATCAGAAAGATATCATATTTTCTGGGAGAGAAAATCATGCCTTGCTCAGCAGCATTTTGCTATGAACAAGGCAATGGAGCTACAACCCGGAGCTGAATCTTAGCTCTTTTTGATCTGTGTGACCTTGGGCAAGTTGCTTACTTTCTGAGCCTGTTTCTTTATCTGTAAAGTGGTAATAAGAACCCATGCACAAGGGGCAGCTAGGTGGCACAAATGGATACAGCTCCGGCCTTGGAATCAGGAGGACTTGAGTTCACATCTGACCTCAGACACTTGACACTTACTAGCTGTGTGACCCTGGGCAAGTCACCTAACCTCGATTGCCTTACCAAAAAGCAAAACAAACAAACAAACAAACATGCAGAGTTTACTTCTTAGCATTATTATGAAGAAAACAGTTTGCAAACTGTGAAACATTATTTAAATGTGATTTGTTCCTTGGAGAAAATAATTGTGTGATCAAAGAGGGAAGGAATGAACAGAATTTACTTAAATTTCAAAATGTCCTCGAGAATATTCTATCTAAAGTCTACCACTAAAAGTATTATTAATGAGATTGTATGGCAGATATTATCATTGAATTGACCTAGATGGAGGAAACAAAGAGTAGAAAAAAATGTTTCTTTAGATGAAGGAGTAAAAACAATGGGATCCCTCTTTGATGCTGGCATTTATCTTATTTAATATTTTTAAGTGATCAGGCAGATGAAATTTACAAGGAAATCTCAAGTGTGCAAATGACTACAAACTATTAAATTTAAATGCCAAGTTTGTGGGTTTAAACTATGGAAAAAAAACTCATAAGGCAGGGGAATTTTTGCACCAGAATGACAGATGAACTTCAGTGTGAGCTAAAAATAATTTCAAAAATACTGAACTTAAGATATTTAACTTGGGATCCAAGCTATTTCCCATTTGGGGAAAACAAACAAACAAATAAACAAAAAAAAACAAAACTATGAGTGCTGAGACTGTTTGGGTTTGATAAGAAGTGAACCAATCAACTTAAGAATTACGTTTCTTAATTGCACTATGTTTATGCATTATGTTTCTTAATAGCACTATTAGTTTTGATAAATTCCATTGATAGAAATGGGATCAATGTATATACAAGTTTGGACAAAAGGTGATACTAATTGTCATAAAAGAATTTTTGTAACTTGGCTTTATTACCACCATTTGCTTCAAATAAAAAGTCACATAACTAGCTACAGCCTGCAAGAATTTAGTGAAGACATCAAACTTTAGCTGAGGTGATTAACTAGTTAGTGATACAAAAATTTCTGGCTCAACTTTATAACCTCTATTTAAGATGAACACTTTTACGTTACTAACTATAGCTCTGGTGGTAATGGTTAGCCCATAAATTCTAGCTATATCCTGTGTTTCACTGACTAGTTTATTATTTAATCTGATATTGTAGTAGTGGTAATAGTGATGGTGATGATGCTGGTGGTAGTAATAGTAATAGCTAAGCTTCAGGTGGCATTCTAAAGATGTATGTTTCAGAATTGATTTCATCTTAAAAAATGATGAGTTTCTGGAAATTATGAAATCCAGAAGAGCATTCATTCATTCATTCATTTATCCATGTTTTCATCCATGTTTTCATCTCATGCTTTAAATACTCTCTCCCACGGCCTACCCCAACTGGCCTTGTCGGCTTTCTTCAAAACTTCGTTCAAATCCCATCATCTGCAGGAGGCCTTTGTCTTTTCTCTTCCCTTCTTCCTCTACGGCTAGTTCCTTCCCTCCGAGATTACCTTCTGTCTAACTCTGTAGATATTCTGTATGTACAGAGTTCTTTTACCTACCCCATTAGAATGTGAGATCCCTGAGAAAAGAGTATTTTTTCTTTTCTTTTTTTTTCTTTTAGCTTTTCTTTTGTATGCATAGTGCTCAGTATAATGCCTAGAAAATAGTCAACACTTAATAGATGCTGACTGAATAAAATAGCTGACTGGCATTGGATAGAGTGATGCCATTATCACCCTAAGTTAAATGGTCAATTCTGTGAAATCGAACAGTGTCATAGAACTAATATGTACAAGTGTTTTCCCACAACATGGGTTAGACCCACCCTGCTACCTTCCCTCTTGTGACAGGGATTAGTTTTCTGCAAAAGCAGACAGAGTGGTCCCTAATTAGCCCCTGTTTCCAGAAGCTGGTTGGTGATCTAAGGATATAAAAAGTTCCACCTATGTGTACTCTCTGATTTGGTGAATTTCTGGAGATTTAGACCATATTCTTTTTTCCATAAGGACATGAGGGTGGGAGGTGTCCAGGGAAGCTGAATGCCACAGTATCCTTGTTGCTTATCCTTGTTGTGTTGGGACAAAGTAAAACTACTTTGTAAACTGTTTAATGGTCTATGAGTGTCTCATTTCATTACATCACATCTGAATTAAGAGATTGCTAGGATTAGAGCTTATTCTAACATACAGAAAACTAAAAAAATTCCTATAATCCAGTGTCACTAATGACAACAAAATTGGAAGCAAATTTTGGTATTTTTCCTTAAACTTTTAGGCCTATTTGTATCTGCAGTGATCACATCCAAAGAAGGCCCCAGGACTTCATTTGCCATGATACTTGGAACTCAGAGTATTGCTTATTGGGAGAAGCTTCTCAGATTACATTTCCTAGACATAATGTTGCAGTCTGGAAAAACTTCAAGACAAAGCTATAGACAACAGGAAGTCAAAAGCTAAGTCAAGATGCTAGGTAATACTTATAAGGTAGTAGCAATAGAAATGGAACTTAATACTGTCATCCACCTTCTGAGGCAAGAAGCACTTTTATCTGTCACCTCCACAGCCAGAAATGTAGGCAGACTTGAGCCTATAGGTAACATGGACATAGCTCCCTGTCTGGAAAAACACCATTGTAAAGAAGACTTCTTTTTCTTCTCACCAGTATAACTTAGATGAATTCTGATAACTCATGGCACCCACTGGCTTATTTCTGGCATTGGTGTTTACTTTTTCTTCTCTCAGTTCCCAAAATATTATTTGTATTAAATCCCAAATCAGTCACTATTCATAAGTCTAATTCTACAATAGTCTGTTTAGCAGTTTCTTTGAATTGTGGGGATTAAATGATGATAATTTTTAGGGAAAAACAAGAGTAATCCAATCTTGATATAAGATATTTCAATTTTCAGTCTAATCATATTGTTAAACAGTCACTTGTGTGCTCACTTAGTCTCAGCACTTGTATTAACAGGAACAATTCAGAAATTAGCATGACCCTGGCTCAAGGATGCCAAACAAAATTTTTTAAGCACTTCATCTTTTTTATTATACTTATTTGTTAGAAGGGAGAACATCTATGAAGGTGGGGTGGGGAGTTGTTGAGTAGTGATAGTTGCATAAGAAAAAAAAGAAGGAAGGAAAGAAAGAAGGAAGGAAGAAAAGAAGGAAGGAAGGGAGTATCAATGAGCACTAAAAATTACACAGAAGAAAGAAGAAGGGAGTTCAGGAGGTGACAGATAAGCAGGACAGTTTTATTACTATCTTGTCAATTCCATATTGACTTCAAAAATCTAACTATATATAACACAAGTTCACAGATTCATATACAGTCATATTTTTCTGTTGCAAGGATCAAATTAGATAATATAAAGTACTTAGCACAATACCTGGTCCTCTCTTTCTCCCTCCTTTCTTTCTTTCCTTCCTTCCCTCCCTTCCTTCCGTCCTTGCATCTGTTCTTTGTTGATTAAAATGTTTGTGCTTATTAAGTTCATTACTATATGAACATATTATGAAAACCTAAATAAAATAAAAAGCAACTGAGGAAAAATGCCCCTGAAAAATTGACGTTAAGAAAAAAAAAGCTTATTAGGACTATTTGCTTTTATGTTGACATGGGTAGTATTAGGGAGATGTTTATGGTCCCAGTGTTGTAGAACACAAAAAAATATGAATATAGAGATAATGGCTTGATGACTACCCCAATATAATTGGTGGCTTAGGGTTGTTCCATTATCCTGTATTTTAGGGTTTTGAGACTTCCTGCTACTGCTTTGGAGAGGACATTGATACATAGAATATAGTTCACAGAGATGAGGAAAGAGGAAAACAGAGAGGGCCATTACAAAACAGGACTCCGGTCAAAAGCCTGCCTCACACTCAATATGCATTTATCACTTACCAAAAAAATGAACTGAATGATTAATAAATCCCCAAGCATGAAATGGCGGCCTAGCATATGTTCAGCATTATACATAGGTCTGTAAGAGGTACAGAAATAGAAGAAATGACTGCTGGCTTCAAGCACTGCATATCTTTTTGGGGAATAAAGGCTAACATGTAAGTAACAAAAAGTCAAAATGTAAAACAATATGAAATTAAAGGCCAGTTTATATGATCTTCTTCCTATCCCTCATACAGGACTCTGCATCTTTTTCCTCTCTATCCCACAGACCTAGAATCTACTTCCTCTCTCTTATCACTCAGAATCACTCCTTCCCTTCTAGGCTCAGTTCAAGCTCTCCCTTCTACATGAGGCCTTTCCTAATTCCCCTCAACTGCTAGTGCCCCACTCCATCCACCAACATGCTTCCATTTTACATGTTACTACATGGGTGAATGCTTTCTCTCCTGCCTAGACTGTAAGATCTTTCAGAACAGTGACTATTTTCACTTGTCTTTGTTCACCCACTACTTCACACAGTGCCCGGCATATAGTAGGTGCTTAGTAAATGCTTGTTAATTGATAGATTTATTATAGATTGTAAATAACGAAGCAAAGAGAATTGCAGCCAGTGCTGAAGTAGTTAGGGAAAGCTTCATAGAGAAAGGAGATGGAAATTGGGTCTCAAAGAAAAGACTAGATTTATATAGATGGAAAGGCCAATTTCCTTATCTGTAATAAAAAGTCAAAAAGAACTCTACAATTCATCCTGGATCCAATAATCTCTGATTCTATAGAACTAAAAAAAATACTTCAAGTTTGGAAAATAATGTGCAAAGTAAGAAGATGACATTGAGGGGCAGGTGGGTGGTGCAGTGGATAGAGCACCAGCCCTGAAGTCAGAAGTCAGGAAGACCTGAGTTCAAATTTGGTCTCAGACCAAACACTTGACACTTACTAGCTGCGGGACCCTGGGCAAGTCATTTAACCCCAATTGCCTAAAAAAGATGACATTGGGGAGATCAAATTGACTCTAGTAGGAAATAAGGTTGGAGATGCTGTTGTCTGCACCATTTCCTTAACCAGATGCCACCACTAGAAGAACAAGAACAAGAAGCATTTATTTTTAATAAATAATCACACTTTAATAATCAGTTAATAAGTAATAATAAATTTAAAATAATTAGTTTAACAATTAAATTAATAAACCTGCTTATTGTATGCCAGGTATTGTGCTAAGTGCTTTACAATTATTATCTCATTTGATCCTCAACAAAAAACCTTGGGAGGTAGGGTAAATAAAATTATCCTCATTTTACAGATGGAGAAACTGAGGCAAAGGGAGGTTATGTGACTTGCCCAGAGTCATAAAACTATTAAATATCTGAGATAAAAATTGAACTCAAGTTTTCCTGACTATAGACTCAACTGTGCCACCTAGCTGCACTTTCTGAATACTTTCAGGATTAGATCCAAAGATTACTCTTACCTAAGGCAAGAGAGGGCAAAAATCCTTTGGTGTAGGATGGGGCACATTGAGGTGTGCTTGTTCCTGTTTGAATGCATGTGCTTAGCATCCTAGTTGGAGAACAAAGGCAGTGAGTTATTTGGATAGGGCAGAACTTACAGAAAAAGGATTGCTTGTTCATCAGCCCCCACAGTGTGACTGTCTTCCATAGGAGAGTGTACCTCTATTCAGGGTACAGGGACAGGAAGCAAGGCTGATAGGCTCTGATTGCTTTGTGTGTCTTTTGTATCTGTTTATGAGCTCCTCAGTCTTCTGTACCTCATGCATTTTCTGTGCAATAAAATAAAAGTTGTCCAACTTCATATCCATGTAATATCTTGCAAGTCTGTACAACATTTGAGGATCCTATTTTCCTCATTTGGGGAAACCTAGACATAAGTTATATTTGGCAATTTTTTTTTAAATTTAGGTTTGTTGTTTTTTTTTTTCTTAGCATTCCAAGTGGAATGTTATAAGGCAAAGAGAGAAAAATGGCCCTTTGGAGGCAAGAGCAAGATCAAATCCCTTCTTCATGAGCATAGGATCTTTGGGAGGCCCTGGATCATTGATAATATAATAAATACTACAACAGTCACTTAAAATATCCACTCATATTATGTAATTCATAAATTCATCAATTTAAAATGTTTCTAGAACCATTATATCCTTAATGGAAGGAATCCTGCTTGCCTTGAAAAAGAAGTGGCATTTCTTAGTGGATATAGAGGGGCTCAGAATCAAAAAGACCTGGGTTCAAATACTATCTCTGCTTTCAAATCCCAACATGTTATCTTTGTGACCTCAGCAAATAAATACTTCTCAGCCCCCTCTTACCAACTCTCTAGGACTGTAAGATATAGAACAAGTGGTCATGTGCATATGTTAGCACAAGTTTTCAACCAGAGTTGTTTATGGCAATGAAATCACTAGTCTGGTCCAAAATACACAAAAGTCTGCATCTTCTTATAGCTGGCATAATGTTAGCTCTAATCTTAAGAATTAATCATTTGGGACTCTTATCATTTTGCATTATATTTTTATTTCCTTTTAAGAGATGTCTAGCGATAGGGAAACACACACACACACACACACACACACACACACACACACACACACCTAGTTTTACACCAGGCATAAATAAGGCAAGTTAGCAACTAAATATTTTCCCTTGGAACATCTAAAATATACAGCCACCTATGTTCAGATTGTTAGTTATAGCACTTATAAATCAGAAAGATTACTTACTATTTGCTGACATGTATTTTTCTGACATCTAAGTACTTCACAAATCAACTTGCTGTATATAAATCAAAAATTATTGAATTACCATAAAAAATATCAGATGCCATACAAAATGTCACTTAATGTCAGGGTGGGATGAGGAAATAATTTGCCTCATCAATTTAATTAAGGAAGCAGGTAACCAAATCATTTGAATATACTTAAAGTAGTTTAGTGCTATTTTTAATAATAATTTCATTGGATTTAATGAGAAGCCCATTTAAACACCTTACTCCCCACCCCCAAAAAGAGATCTATTGGCAATTTTATATCAAATAATGAGATCTTTCACTTTCCACAAATAATTTTTAAAATAAAAATTGTGATATCTTCTATTTTTTAGATAATCGGAATTTCTTTTAGTATCTCTGTTCCTCCCCCCATCTGAGGGCTATCCCATATAGTAAAGAATACTTGTTTAAAAAGAAAAAAAGGAAAGGAAAAAAATAAGTGAAACTGATCAAAACACAAAAAAGTTTGAAAATGCAATGTACCATAACTTTGGACCTCCCATATCACAAATGAATGGGAAATGGGTGTCTTTTCATATACTGACAATTCAGCTTTATGTAAATTCACATTATGCAAATTCTACTTTATGAAAAGAATTCTTCAAAAAAAAATCTGCATTCAAAAAAAAAATCTATGTTAACTTTACTATAGAGTACTGTGCTCTCTCTCTGCTCCTGCCCCTCAGTTAAGCTCCTGGACCCCCCACTCCCGAAAAACCCTGAAAATATCCCCTCTAAATAAAAGCATAAGAATGCATGCTCACAGAGAGAACCACCAGATAGGGGGCTTGGCTTGAGACCTCCAATGTTGAGAGAGGAGACATTGGCCTGAGTGTCTGTCTTCTCTCTCTCTGTCCTGGAATACCACATATTTGTCACCGTGCTGAAGGATCCTTGAATGCTGTGCATGGGAACCCTCCCTCTACTGTATGAGGCCCCCTTCCTTCCTTCTTCTGTCCCTTCCTCCTTCCCTTTCCCACTTCCATAGGCAAATCTGCATTAGGTAATACTTGCTTTACATAAAGGTTTGCAGAATGGTCCATTTATGTAAAGCAAGAACTGTCTGCATATACTTTGGAGCCATGCTCATTCTCTCCAGTTTTGCTATATTCACTTTTGATGTTTTGTGGTTTTCTTTCCACTTACATTGCTCTGATCATTGTGCATATTTTTTTCATGGGTCTAGTTATTTCACTCTATATTACATCATGTAAATCTTCCTTGTTGTAAGATATTTGTCATATCTTACAACATAGTAATATTCTATTATTGAGCAATGTACTCCAATTTGTTTAGACATTCTTTAATCAATGGGCACCTAATATGCTTCCAATTCTTTTCTATCACAAAAAGTGTCACTA